GAACGTTAGTAATATGGGGAAGGAGAAGAGGAAAAAGTGAAGTAATGAGAGGACATATTTGTCATTTCACATTTAATATAAGTTTTAATTAAATTTTATTTTAGTTTTTTTTAGTCAAAGGTTACTTAGACAATTTATTGTTTGGAGAGGGTCATCTTGACCAATTTCCAAAGCATCGGCTACATCATTGTGTCTCCCAAACAAAAACAAACTCACCCAAAAACTCTTGCCAGCGTGCTTGTTTCGGGGGCAGCTTCTTTTGAGTCCGGCAGTAGGTGTTCGTTGCATTGTCCTTCACGACTGTAATTGTACATCCATAAACATCGTATAGTACTTAATATTAATTATAAGTACACCTCCTGAACTGAGGTCTTCCTGATGAATAACGAGCACAACTATTTTATATATTTAGAACATATATAAAATACTATCTAATCACGAGTGATAATTAAATTATTTTCATTAGAGTGGTCGAATAGTCAACATTCTCAAACAAGAAATTTAATGCACACCAAATTTATAAATTTATTCATGTACACCTTTTCAAGCCATCGGGAACGGAATTTGGACCACGTCCCCTTAATTACACAAGTGACCAAGGGGTACAAACTCCATCAAGAAGACTAACTATCGCAAAACAAAACTCAAAAAAGAGACATCAACTCCGTATAGAAAACTAAATATCAGACACCGCTTGGCTAAACTAAAAAAAAAAAAAAACAAAGAAACACAAAATAACAATAACAAAATAAATAATAAATTTATTAAGATCTTGCTAAAATTAAAAAGAAAATCTATAAATCTACAAAGCGGGCAGGCGTCAGCCCCCATACATGGTCTTACGACTTTGCGGAGACCTGTGTTTTTGGTAAAGGTTTCATTGCTTGTTGTTTTGTCTGGTTCAATAATACCGCCTAGCTACACCACCCACAAAATTTAAAGAACTTAAAGGGGCATGAGTCATGTATTCTGCGGAATGCCATTCTTGCCAAGGTTGTATGTCTTTTTTCAACCTACCCAAGTCCAGAAAAAAAAAAAAAAAAGTCAAATGTACTCAACGATTTGCTAAAATAACATTGATGTCTCCATGTCTTCAAAAGCAATGCAAGAAGCTGATTAGATATAATCTATTTTTTCATATATAAAATGTATAAAAAAACACAAAAATAACAATAACAAAATAAATAATAAATTTAATAAGATCTTGCTAAAATTAAAAAGAAAATATATAAATCTACAAAGCAAAAAAAAAAAAAAAAAA